TCCCCACTGTGTTGCCGCTAGACAGTAGCTGTCTCGTCCGGGTCCGACGGTCTCCCCTGTGCGTCGTATTCTCCCCCCACTGGGTTGCCGCTTACATCTAGTCCGTCGGCTGACAGCCGTCCGCCCAGCTGATAGCTGTCCGGTCGTGCCACGACAGGTCTCGCCGCTGTAGCGCCGTATGTCTCCCCACTGTGTTGGCCGCTGACAGCTGTCCGTCGGGCGACAGGTCTCGCCGCTGTACCGCCAGCTGCGCCGTGCAGCTCGCGGCCGACCGGCCTCCCCGGCGAGGCCCCGCCAGTATCCGTTTGACGGTTCGGCCCGCCGCCCGAGCACGTTGGACGACTCGGGGTCAGACGGATTATCGAGCCACATCTGGCGGAAGGTAGGTGACCGAGGGGGAGAGGGGGCGGGGCGGGGGCGAAAGGTGGAAGGCCCGCCTGGCAATGGAACCGTCACGTTTGCGGGGATTTGGCGCTTGAAGTGGTGCGACGCTGGCGGCGGGCGCGGGGATCCAAGAAGAGGATCAAGCACTTGCGAGGGTTCTAGTGCTAAGCTTGTTTCCTGGTGATGGAACGTGGCCATGCATGGGACCAATGCCGCGATTTTCACCGCTCGTGTTATGAGCTATGCTATGAGCCATGAGCTATGAGCTGAACGACGGGATGAGCTATGCTATGAGCTAAACGATGAGCTATAGGATACGTTACAAAAGCGATGTGCTAACGAGAAGCGTCATTAAGGTTAGCATGCGGAGTGCGTAGCAGGCGGCGTGTGTGCTTATCCAAGACAGCGAATGCCGGAATCCTGGGGATGACACCGTTGGCTGTCAGTATCGACGCTATTACACTTCTACAGCCAGCCTCACCGGCTGAGTGCTGGTGTATTCAAAGGAGGAGATCACTCGGCCGAGATGATAGCGACTCCGTGGTATGGTCGTGAAAACGTTGGCTGCCAGCAGAGGTTCGCCCACCCGAGCTCTAATAGCCGTCGTTCTGCGCATTATCCCTAGTAATGCCGGTGTATGGTCCAAGTAAAATCTGCTCTGTTAAGTCAGTCCGTTCTTGGTGATTTTTTGTTCTCTACCCACTGTATTCTCCATTTTGCTATGCCGATACACACAACGCACACACAGCTGTGTGTGTGTGTGTGTGTGTGTGTGTGTGTGTGTGTGTGTGTGTGGTGTGTGTGTTGTGTGTGTGTGTGTGTGTGTGCGTGTGCGTGTGCGTGCGCGCGGCGCGTGCGTGCGTGCGTGCGTGCGTGCGTGCGTGCGTGCGTGCGTACGTGCGTGCGTGTTGTGTGTTTGCAAGCCATGTCATTATCGAAAGGGAACAAACAAACAAAGCAGTATCCGATGTGCGCCAGCTCGCTATCGGCGTCGGCCCCTCCTCGAGCGCCCCTCCCCCCTCTCCCTCCCTCTTCGCTACGCCCGATCGGTCGGCGGGGCGTGGCTCGTTCCGACACGTCGTCAGCCTGTCCCGGGGGACGGAGCAGCTGCTCGGAGCGGGCTCAGGCCGTCGAGACCCCCGCCGGGGGGGGGGGGGGGGCGCCGCTGGGGGGCCATGTCATGCGGTGGCAGGATGGGGGTGCCGTCTGGCAGCGTTGGGTCGGTCGGAATGTCGCCGGAGACGCGAAGGACCTCCGAGAATCGCATTTGAAGTGGCTTTTTGGGGCCCGTCGCCGCCATCGGCTCGATCATGTAGAACAGAAACGCGCCTGAAGGACAAGGCATATGTGCGTTGGCTGAGGAAGTGCGAAGCATTCAGACCGATGGCACAGGTCCAACTCAATGGGTGAGGATTTAACGTGTCCACGTGTTTTCAGCGGCGGTGTTGATGTGAGACATAGAAAGGTTCGGCATGTCCGAATCGGAAATCGTCACCGAGTCACAGCTGTAGCGCTGTGACGGTGCATAGCTGATGTGTGCCTTATTTACATTTCATTTTGAACGTGCTATCTCTTGCATTTTTGCTATAAATGAAACAAGCTAAACACAAAACACGCCTTGGGTCTCTGGTCGTTAAAACGGCTTTATGACGACAGCGCATAACGACGTGGGATGGAAGCCTGTCCTTTGTTTCTCTTGTGTGATTCTACAGCAAAAAAAGAAAAAAGCGGTCGGCACAACCTTTGTACACGAATTTGAAAAAAAATATTTTACCGTTGAAAAACTCCACTGACGCTTTTGACTCATGTGAACCGCACTCGCAGCTGCAAACATCGCCCGCGCGTCAGGGAGTGACTTTCGGCCGTAATCCTGCGACAGCAGTGGTCTGCCACAGCGTAACTAGGTATCTGCCGCCTGCCGCCTGGGTCTGCTGCAGGGTAGCTAGGTATCTGCTGCCTGCCGCCTGAGTCTGCTGCAGGGTAGCTAGGTATCTGCTGCCTGCCGCCTGAGTCTGCTGCAGGGTAGCTAGGTATCTGCTGCCTGCCGCCTGAGTCTGCTGCAGGGTAGCTAGATCTGCTGCCTGCCGCCTGAGTCTGCTGCAGGGTAGCTAGGTATCTACCGCCTGCCGCCTGGGTCTGCTGCAGGGTAGCTAGGTATCTGCCGCCTGCCGCCTGGGTCTGCTGCAGGGTAGCTAGGTATCTGCTGCCTGCCGCCTGAGTCTGCTGCAGGGTAGCTAGGTATCTGCCGCCTGCCGCCTGGGTCTGCTGCAGGGTAGCTAGGTATCTGCTGCCTGCCGCCTGTGTCTGCTGCAGGGTAGCTAGGTATCTGCTGCCTGCCGCCTGGTCTGCTGCAGGGTAGCTAGGTATCTACCGCCTGCCGCCTGGGTCTGCTGCGGTAGCTAGGTATCTGCTGCCTGCCGCCTGAGCTGCTGCAGGGTAGCTAGGTATCTGCTGCCTGCCGCCTGGGTCTGCTGCAGGGTAGCTAGGTATCTGCTGCCTGCCGCCTGAGCCTGCTGCAGGTAGCTACTAGGTATCTGCTGCCTGCCGCCTGGTCTGCTGCAGGGTGCAGGTATCTAGTACCGCCTGCCGCCTGGGTCTGCTGCAGGGTAGCTAGGTATCTGCCGCCTGCCGCCTGAGTCTGCTGCAGGTAGCTAGGTATCTGCTGCCTGCCGCCTGGTCTGCTGCAGGGTACCTAGGTATCTGCTGCCTGCCGCCTGGTCTGCTGCAGGCTAGCTAGGTATCTGCTGCCTGCCGCCTGGTCTGCTGCAGGGTAGCTAGGTGTCTGCTGCCTGCCGCCTGGGTCTGCTGCAGGGTACCTAGGTATCTGCGCCTGCCGCCTGGGTCTGCTGCAGGCTAGCTAGGTATCTGCTGCCTGCCGCCTGGTCTGCTGCAGGTAGCTAGGTATCTGCTGCCTGCCGCCTGGGTCTGCTGCAGGTAACTAGGCATCTGCTGCGCTGCCGCCTGAGTTCTGCTGCAGGGTAGCTAGTATCTGCTGCCTGCCGCCTGGGTTTGCTGCAGGTAGCTAGGCATATGCTGCCTGCCGCCTGAGTCTGCTGCAGGGTAGCTAGGTATCTGATGCCTGCCGCCTGGTTTGCTGCAGGGTAGCTAGGCATCTGCTGCCTGCCGCTGAGTCTGCTGCAGGGTAGCTAGGTATCTGCTGCCTGCCGCTGGGTCTGCTGCAGGGTAGCTAGGTATCTGCTGCCTGCCGCCTGGGTCTGCTGCAGGGTAGCTAGGTATCTGCTGCCTGCCGCCTGGGTTGCTGCAGGGTAGCTAGGCATCTGCTGCCTGCCGCCTGATCTGCTGCAGGGTAGCTAGGCATCTGCT